AAACATATCCTTAAATTCAAGTTTGGAAAAGTAGATATTGGGGTCAGAGTGCGTCTTCTCCCAGAGAACTTTGGGGTGCTTAAGGAAATTTCTTCCTAGTATTCAGCATTGCATATAATAGAATTTCATTTGCTTGTTTGACTTGCATATTAATACCTCAGAGGGTTACTCAAATGACTCTTTATAGGACAAAAAAGATCAACCTCTCTCTGTATTTAAAAAAAAATAGTACTATGGTTGTACTATTTTCCTTAATAACTGCCTGTCATCCAATAAGGTTGACCCAGTGTGTGGCATATAGTGGGCACTCAATAAATAACAAAATATGACCTAGCCCTAGAAATAACTTATAATTGCATGTTGAATACATTTACTTGTATACTATTGATTAACTTTTAAAGTTAATTTTGTTTATGTATAAGTTTTATCTAATAATTTTAAGTATAAAGTTTGATGAGTTTAATAAACATACACTTCTATAACCATAATCACAACCAAGATATAGAATAACTCCATTACCTCAAAACAATATTTCCCCATTTCTCCCAGTTCTGGCTGCAGGTACCCACTGATCTAGGTTTTGACACTTTATATTAGCTTTCATTTTCTAGAATTTATATATATATATTCACATGGCATGCACTCTTATGTCTGGCTTCTTTTGCTCAGCATAATGTTTTTGAGTTTTATTCTAGTTGTTATACATATCAGAATGTTCCCTTTTATTGTAATTTTATTGTCTTGGTATGGTATATTTTGCTTATTCATTCATCTTTTAAAAATATTTTAAAATTGATTTTTAAAGAGAGAGGGAGAAGGGCATTGATGTGAGAGGGAAACATTTATCAGCTGCCTTTTGCATATCCCCTAATGGGGATTGAGCCCACAACCTGGGCATGTGCCCTGACTGGGAATTGAACTGTACCCTTTTGGTATACAGGAGGATGCCCAACCAATTGAGACATACCAGTGAGGACTACTCATTCATCTTTTAAAAACTATTTGGATTATTTCCAGTTTTTGAATATTATTCACAAAATTGCTATCAACATTTGTAGACAAGCCTTTGTATAAAGATGTTTTCATTTTGTGTGTGTGTAAATATGCAGGAATAGAATGACTAGATCATTAGGGTAAGCATATGCTTATAAGAAACTTCCCAATTGTTTTCTGAAAGTGGTTTTAACATTTTACATTCTCACTAGCAATGCATGAGTTCCAGTTGCTCTATATCTTCAGTAACACATGAAACTGTCAATCTTTTTTTAGTCATTCAAATGGATAGGTAGTGGTGTCTCACTTTAAAATTCAGAGGGTCAAATCTCTGAATCCCCATTCTGATCCTGTCTTACTAGCTATCACTCTGGGCTTCCAATTAAAAAAAAATTAATGACAATCATATTAAATATATTTATAAGAGAACAACATTAATTTGGCATTTATCATTCTCCTGATCTCAGAGTGTAAGCTTCGTGAGGGTGCAAGACCTACCTGGTTCTTTGTATCTAGCACAATTCATGATCCGGTGTGCACATTTACTAGTTATCTGTTGCTATGTAATAAAGTACCTTACGTCTTAGCAGCTTAAAATAAACATTCATTGTTTCCCACAATTTCTAAGTGCTAGGAATCCAAGAACAGCCTAGTTTAGTAGTCCTGGGTCAGGGTATATCATGAGGTTGCAGTTAAACCAAAGGTTGGTGCTACAGTCATTTGAAGGCTTGACTAGGGCTGAAGGATTGACATCTATTTGCAAGACGTCTCAGTTCCTGATGGCTGTTGTCAGCAGTCCTCAATTCCTTGCCATGCGAACCCCTCCAATGGGCTGCTCAAAACAGGTTTCCCTGAAGTGAGTGATACAAGAGACACAAAGATAGGAGTTGATTATCAGGAGACCAATCAGGAGATGGGAATGGTTGGGGTGCACCCAAAAGGTTGGCTAACACAGTGCATAGTGAATATTTATTGATTGAACTAATGTGGCCTGACACTCTGCCAAGCATTTTACTTATATCATCTCATTTAATCCTGATAACAATTCATGGACCATTGTCTTCATTTGAGATTGATGAAACTCAGGCTCATAAAGTTAAGCAACATTTCTACAAAGCTATTAGGTGGCAGAGCTGAAGTTCAAAGCCAAACCTCTCTAGCCCCAAAGGCTGTGAAAAATGATTCACACTGAAAATGAATGAATTGCACTACTCCAAAAAAAATAGATTTAGGTGTTTTTTTTAAATTTTATTTATATTGCACATGCAATTTATTTGTATATGGGAAAGAAACTAGAAACTATATCAACAAGGAAACCTTAACATCCTGCAGGAGGATAAAAAATTGGTTCCCTATTCTCCAGCTGACAAAGTGTTTTTCATTTTTCCCCCCTCTCTTACCAGACTAATGTTTCAAATTCTTTTAAAAAAATATATATTTTTATTGATTTCAGAGAGGAAGGGAGAGGGAGAGAGAGAGAGAGAGAAAAATCAATGATGAGAGAGAATCATTGATTGGCTGCCTTCTGCACACCACCTACTGGGGATGGAGCTTGCAACCAGGGCATGTGCCCTTGACCATAATTCAACCTGGGACCCTTCAGTCTGCAGGTGGATGCTCTATCCACTGAGCAAAACCAGCGAGGGCTGTTTCAAATTCTTGGCAGGTACTTGGAAACAATGGAAGTCAAGAATTTTGCCACTGACTTTCCATAGAGTCATCACAGGTTTGCTGTCATATAGTGTGCATATGGCACTGTGGTAGCTTCAGGGTTCTACAAAGCAAGTGAAACTGTTTCTGATGTCCGGGTAGGGAGTGGGGAGGGGAGGTCATGATCTCTTTGGGATTAAGGTGATAACACAAGGAAGTGTAAATTTCCTGGAGAGGCACACAGGGAATGCTTAGTGAGGTCTGAGTTTTTAAGAAGATCAGCCACATCTTTAAAACACATTTGGCATTTATTAAAATAACTAGTGTGATCATCTCTGGAAGTTAGTAGAAGATTACCATGAGGGAGCCTGGCTTCCTCCTTCCCTCCGTCCCTTCCTCCCTTCCTTTTTAAAGCAGTTGGAAAATTTGCAAAGACAGTGGCTTGCTTACCATGGCAGCACAGACTCTCGGTGAGGAACCACAGCTTTCCACTAAAGATGGCACAAAATGGGTTTCTGGAATACAAGAACAAGGAAGAAAAGCAGCTAAGGTACGAAGTCCAGATAGCCTTTCCAGAGAATGAGGACTTACACAAAGACAAACAGAAGAGAGTGGGGAGTGGGTAGGGCAAGGGCTTTAGGGATTGTTTAGGTTTAAAGAGTTAAGGTGATACCGCTGGGGTAGGAATGCCTTCCTAGCAGAGTTGAAATGAAGAGCTCCCCTCCCGCTCACCCAGGGGAAACTGCCCGTTGCACAGGTGGAACTAAGAGGAGAGTCTGTGAAGCCACCTATGCCCTGCAAAAACTTGTTTCAGACCAACCTTTACTTTGGCCACAGAGCATGCTCAACTTTCAGACTTCTGCAGAAGTGCAGATTCTGTGGCTCTAGATTTTATCTTCAGTAGCTGGAGGCGGGGGATCGAGGGTGGCAGAGGCCACAGGTGGAATCTGGTGTTTGAGTACACTCCAAGGGGAAAGTGTGAGGACTAGGGGGCAGTTAGGAGGGGAGTCAGACATCTATCAACGTGATTGGCTCTGACCTGGTGGGCAAGCCTCTAGGAAGGAGACAGTGTGGTGATTCTCAGACACTGAGTGCGATACAAAGAGTCACAGGAGCAGAGGGGCAAAATTCAGGGTTCTGGCCCTTGTCCTTGGGTATGAATCCGGGTCAAAAAAACAGTCATTACTATCTGTGCTGTCCGGGGTTACCTGTTGCAAGTTACCTGTTGCAAGGGATTGGGTGTCCGTGCAGACAACAGGAGCCAGGAGGATGGTCACCAGGCAGTCCCCGCGCGACCTGTACCACCTCCCCTGCTTGTCCCTCTAACACCATCCAGACCGGTCGCCAGGGGCCAAACATCTGGCCAGGCAGAACAGGTTCAGAAACTCACCCTTACCAGCTCACTTTGACATTTGGGCTCCTGATGGGGTGCACCCACACCTATGAGAATCTCGCGGACTCCCCCACCCCCCACCCCCCTCCCCTAAGCCGCTGGTGGCATGGGATTTCCTTTTACTATGAATGAACAGTGATTGCCGAAGATGTGCTCCCGGTTACACAGCCTGCAGGCGGTGCCCGCGGGCCAGAAGGCAAGGCAAGGGCCCTGGCTCCGCGCGGGCTTGGGTGGACGGAGAGCGCACACGTGGCTGAGAAAGCAGCATCAGGGCGGCGGAGACCCCTCACTACGCTTCTGGGCGGTCCAGCCTGACCCCGGAAGAGAAAGTTGTTTTGGGGAAGGGGAGCGAGCTCGGGGAGGGGAGATCGAGTTAAGTAAAACTAAAAACATCAAAGTTGTTCTGCTCCGCTCGGGCTGCCTCTCCCCGGCCTCATCTTTGCATTTAGTCTCCGGTGCAGCCTGGCTTCCTCAGAGGGCTCGATGCTCCCCAAGTCTGGGTCCAAGTAGGGAAGGGGAGGTGGGGGGGGGGGGGGATCGGACCTCGAGCGCCCGGTCCGCAGGTCCACGACCCTCCCCGGGTCCGGTCGCCGGGAAAACCCGGCGCGGAGCATCCCCGGGACGGGAAACGCCCTGGGCGCGCGCCCACTGGCGCGCATGCTCCGTCGCGGGGAGGCGGCGAGTAGGAAGCTCTGCGCGGCGGCGGCGGCGGCGGCGGCGAGACTGGAGGGTGGGAGGGGACGCACCGGCTGGCGGGCGGGGGCGCTGGGACGAGGCTGTGGCTCCCGCCCCGGGTTCCTGGGAGCGTTTCAGGCCGCGAAGGTCCGCGCGCGAGGAGCCAGCGAGCACGGGAGCCAACGAGCGCAGAGAGGGCGGCGGGCGGAGCGGAGCCGCCGGGCGGAGCGGGCTCAGAGCCCGGGGTGTCCGCGGCTCGGGACCCGGCGGCGGCGGCGGCGGGGCGGCGATGTTCCACTGCATCCCCCTGTGGCGGTGCAACCGTCATGTGGAGACCATCGACAAGCGCCACTGCTCGCTGGTCTACGTCCCCGAGGAGATCTACCGCTACGCCCGCAGCCTGGAGGAGCTCTTGCTGGACGCCAACCAGCTCCGCGAGCTGCCCGAGGTGAGTGTCCGGCCTCACCTGAGCGCCGCCCGGGGAGCGCGGCCCGCCTCGCCGCCCCCTGCCTCCTCTCGCCCCTCCGCTGTCCCCTCGTCCCCTTCCCCACCTCCGGAGCCGGCCGGCCGGCCGGCGCGTCCCTCGGGCACTCCCTCTGCCTGCATTCACCTGCTTCTTGCTCCGTGCACCCCCTTCCTCCCTCCGCCAGCCCCCACAAAAGTTTCCTTCCTTCCATTTCATACAGAGCGACTTGATGTCTTCCTAGTCTCTAAAGTCTGGTGCGGCTTGGGGAAACATTCGGATGAGTTTAGATCCGCGTCTGGGTGCTAACGAACACCTGGCACCTTCGCCTGGGCAGGTGAGGAGCCGCCAGGTGGCTCGGGCTGTTTCCCCGCTTGGAAGCACCGAGCGCGGCATCCCGCTCTCCGCCCTCCGGGCCAGGACCCTCCTCGCCCCGCATCTCCCGGCCGAGGGCTGGTCCTGGAGAAGGTGGGCAGCGCCCTGGTGAGCCTCTTCATCTCGGCATCTGGCGAGGAATGTGCTGGGGCCTTAGCGCCATGTATCGTTGCTTGGGAGAGCTGTAGCTTGGCCGGCCTGCCTGAAGCCCCAGGTGCGGCCCCGAGGTCTAGGGGTTGGGGGTAAGGGGCCGCAGGAGAGCTGCCTACGCCAGGGGTTGCGGTGGGCAGGTTGCCCAGGTGCTCGCCTCTTGGACCTGCCTGCGTGGACCTGTTGTGTGGAAGCAGCCGCACTCAGCCAGCCAGCCCTCAGCCTCCTGACTTCTGCCCTAGCAGCGATGCCTTACCGCTTCAGAGCTGCTTGTTATTAATACATAAATCTATCAAGTATGCTCGAACTTGTCAGGGGACACATGCCAATTGCGCTTTAATGGGGGAGGATCGGGACTGCAAACTTCTTCACCTTCGAGCTTGCCCCGGGAACTTAGCCTGAGTGACCCTTCAGGAGGAAGGTATCCCAAATCCAGGGGTGTGCAATGCAGGAAGTCAGAGTGCAATAATTCAAAGGTGTGCAGGAAGTAGGGAGGCTCCGGGAGGCCGGAGAGCACCCGAAGGCCTGCCTGAGCCTTGGAACGCTGGTAACTTGCTCATCCTTTAGTGAACACAGAGCCAAGACCTTGTCACAGCTACACCTCGCTGGTCAGACCTTCTGGCTTGTTAGAATGACCCGATATGGTCTCCAGGGCTGACAGCATGTTTTAAAAAGCAGAACTGTGTGTTTTCCCCCCCTCAATATTTCAAGTGTTGTTATTCTTCTTGGATTAATTAATTTTCCTTGGTTGGCGTAGAATTGATTGGAAGCTTTGCGCCCTGTAATCACGGGGATTATCCTCGCTAGGATCTTTGCAAAGCCCCCCAAGCTTTATGTAGCTTAGAAGCCCAAAGCCATCCAGTTCTCTCAGGCATTTATTATTTTGCAGGCTCTTTCAAACACAGGCGTTAGCTTTTGTCTGGCCTTTAACGTTCTTAAATTTGACTTGAAAGTCGTAAGCTCACTTACTGCCTTATGTTATAGTAAGTGTTAAGTGTTGCCATCGCCAGAAATATAGAATATGTAATTTAATACTCTTCACGGGCTTCAGAATGAAGTTATTAAAGATTGAGTGTTCAGCTAGAATGTTCCAGTGCTTTGTGGTGTTTTTGTTTGTTTGTTCATTTTCTTTTGCAAAACTGGGAAATTTCCTTGGACTAGATTGGCTTTTCATTCTCTTTTGAAAGGTTGTGGGTTTTCCTGCAATGTCGGGGATTTCAGTTTGGTATGGGAATTATGGGTTTTGGAAATGTCAGGTATTTCTACTGATCCTAAGTGGAAACTTCTGAGAAACTAAAAATACAGTTTTTACAGATAGAACTCTGTAAAAACAGTGTATAAACATGCTTTTCAAAGGCTAAAGGTGGCCTTGCTTATGGGTAATCCTCTGTCTCACAGCCCTTAAACCAGAATCTATTTCTCCTTGACTATTGTACATCTGGGGGCCTGGAGTGTACAAGCCAGATACTTTCATTCCGAGTTCAAGTTTTCCCTTGGGCCATGTGATCTTTCACCTCAGAGACCTGGATGACTCATTAGCAGGGCTCACTGCTGTCCCTGCCCCCTCCCCCAACCTCTCTCTCCTTACCTGCCACATCACCAGTGGGCCCCTCTTTCTGACAGACCTCCAAGGTCCTTGTGGTGGTAGCCACATTGGCTGCATGCTTTCTCTGTAATTTGTTTGAAAGCACAGCCAAAGGGGAATCCTGTACTCCCTACCTCAACAGCATATACTCACACATCTCTTCCCTCCCCCGCCCCCTCCCCAAACTTCAGCTTAAGGAAAAGCATCTCCTCTCCACTGAAAGGCCTGCCACCCCTGGTTTGCTCCTCCAACCCCCTCATTTTACAAATTGAGACTCAGAATTGAAGTGACTCTTTCAGGTTTATCTAGCTGTTTAGAAACAGAGTTGCTGGTCATCCTCCTGTACATGTGTCCACCAACTATATCAGCCTCTCAGGAATCTGGCCTCACACCCATCAGACTTTCATTTATTTAGCCCCTCCTGCTTTACGCATGTCACCAAACCTGGGCCTCCGTCAAACATTTATTGACCTTTCATTATCTGCTAGTGGCCAGCAACACAGAGATGAATGGAGATATGGTTCCTACAAACTGTTCACAGCTTTGTGGGGAGGCCAATGTGGTCACTGTGGGGTGGAGCAGGCACCACAGTTATCAAACTTGATGGTTACTGATCTGATGGAATCTCCTTTGCTGAACGTGCACCAGCCATCCTCAGCAGTGTGTCCCCTCGGGATCAGAAGACTCTTCTGTAGGGAAGGTTGAGATCGCTCATCTTTAGCCTGGCCCCAGTTGGAAGATGATCTCACCTTTCCCATCCACCTGCTTCTTGCCACCTCCCCCAGCTTGATCCATTTGGGATGTGTATTAACAGAGATAGACTTGAACCTCCTGGAGGTGTCCACGTGTTTTTGCTCACCCTTGTGAGCACAGAGCCCAGCACCCAGGAGGTACTGCTTACTAAACAGCTGTCCATCTGCTGAACGAATGTGGCTGAGACTGATACAAACTTTTCTCCTCTTCTTGTTGCTCTCTCCTTAAACATATCACCACTTCAGCATCTATGCTTTTCTGATATACTCAGAAAATACTCATGTTGGAAGCGGCTTCAGAAGTTAAGATCGTGTGGTAGTGACATTGTTTTGTCTTCCTCTAGACCCCTCTGTACTTCCTTCTTGTGTTTGACATCATCATTCCCCTCTCAGTGTGCAGTGATTCTCGAATACCTTCAAATATGTGTGTTTTACTGTCATCTCTCTAGCACCAGTACATGTACCTAGTCCAGTGGTCTGCAAACTCATTAATCAACAGAGCCAAATATCAACAGTACAACGATTGAAATTTCTTTTGAGAGCCAAAAACCGACTTCTGCGCATGGGCCTTGAAGTTTCAATCGCACTGTACCTGCATGCCCACACGTGGTATTTTGTGGAAGGGCCACACTCAAGGGCCAAAGAGCCGCATGTGGCTCGAGAGCCGCAGTTTGCCGACCACTGACCTTATCTAATAGCGGAATTTTGAGTGAATGCTTTCAAACCTTTTTAGTATAAAAACTGGTTTCATCTCAGCGCCTCCTTTTAGAGTTCAGCTAGAGTTCTTTCCATGGATGCCAGATGACATTATTTCAAACACCCGCCCCTTCATATCTCCTTTCTCATATCCTGCTTTATTTTTTCCTCGCCCTTAGAATACGTGTCACAACCTAACTTGAGACTGCACATACTTGCTTAGTTTTTCTTTGTCTTCTCCTCAGTTAGAACATAAGCTCCACGAGAACATAAGCTCCACGTAAGTTTGTGGCTGGACATAGGATGGTATCTCTGGTACATAGTGTTTATTGCATGAATAAGTCCATATGTGTGGCCATGGGTAGGCTGCCCTTATTTCTTATCCATTGTACTTCCCCTTCTACAGTCTGATTTCTACAGTACACCAGCTTATTGAAATTAGTAATGACAAAATGTTAGTCAGAATTCAATGGTCTTGCCTTTCCAGTCTTTGTTCTATATCTCTTCTGAGCTGGAGACATTTAAAAAATATGTTTTTATTGGTTTTTCAGAGAGAGAGAGAGGGAGGAAGGGAGAGGAATAGAGAGACAGAAACATTGATGCGAGAGAAACATCATTTGGCTGCCTCCTGCATGCCCCCTACTGGGAATCGAGCCTGCAACTGGGGCATGTGCCCTGACTGGGAATTAAACCAGTGACTTCTTGGTTCATGGGTCCACACTCAACCACTGAGCCCCACAGGAGACTTTTGATCTTATATTTTTGAAATACTTTTTATGAATGTGACTTGAACAGCTCCAGCTGTGATCTGTTAAGAGCATATCTATCCCCACTTGGAATAGTCCCTTTGTCTTAAATCCACCATACCTTGTCTCCTGACCTGGCTTCTTTCCCCACCGGTTTCATTTTTAAAGGATGGGACTGCCATTCTTCCTGTCTCCACAAGTTCATGGACTTACTTTCTCTCCTTTCATCTCGTCACTAAGTCCTGTAATTTTTCTCTCCAAATGCCGTCTTTTCTCTCTGGTTCCACCTGGTTGCTTTCCCCTGGATTCCTGCTGTCCATTGCTGGTCTCCCCTGCCGGGGCTCTTAGGGCTAGTGGTGAGGAGCAGAGAGCAGGCTGCTGCCACCGTTCACATGCAGCTCCACCACGTGGATGCTTTCTGCAAGCCTTGGTTTCCCACCGTGTGAGAGCAGTGCCCACTTTATAGGTTCTTCTGGTGTTTAAGAGAGAATGCATGCCAAGCGCTCAGGGTTAGGATTCTGTGGCAAGACACTTTTATTGTAAGATGTTTTTTTTCTTTCTTTCTTTCATTTTTTAAAAAAATATATTTTATTGATTTTTTACAGAGAGAAAGGGAGAGGGATAGAAAACTAGAAACATTGATGATGAGAGAAACATCAACCACAACCAATGTACATGCCC